GAGGGACTCCTCAGGATGCCGTCGGCCAAACAATGTCGACTGGCGACACCCAGGGGGAGAGCTTTCTCTGTGGGGGCACCTGCCCTCTGGAATGAACTGCCCCCGGAGATTTGTATGATCCCCGACCTACGTACCTTTCGCTGTGCCCTTAAGACTCATTTGTTTCAACAGGCCGGGATGGCCTAGAAAATGAATTTTAATTTAATTGGGTGTTTGTAGTTTTTTAACATAAGGGCCAAATTTTTAATATATTTTAAACTGTTTTTTAAATTTTGTGGGTATATGTTGTTTTAACATGGCTGTATACCGCCCTGAGTCCGAGAAGAACAGTATAAAAATGTAATAAATCATCATCATCATCATCATCATCATCATCATCATCATCATCATCATAGCTGTGACAATAGATAACAAAACTGCACAAAAATTCAAATTATATTAACTTGAAAGTGATTTATTGGAGTGGTGAATGTTTACTATTTAAAGGAATAACAGGATTAATAAAGAACATAGGTAAATTTTAGAACATGTGGTGAATCGGAGGTGCATAGAACTAGACTTTAAAAATTCTTTATATCCACCTGTTTATTGACATTTTGCTTCATTTCTGAGAGTTGTCCTAGATACATTCCTAAATGAGAAGCAGGATAAAACCAGTTCTAGGGGATACTGTTTTACTTTTACTAGAGATAGCAATACTAAGCTATCTGAAGATGCTGTGTTTTTCTATAACTATTGACAAGTAAAGAATTCAAATTTTTTACTACTGGTTCCGTGGGCACGGTTTGGTGGGCATGGCTTGGTGGGCGTGGCAGGGGAAGGATACAACAAAATCTCCATTCCTAGCCCACTCCAGGAGAAGGATACTGCAAAGTCTGCCACACTGTTCATGCATTGATATGTATATGTAAAATAAAATAAAACTTTTTTAAAAAAAAGAAATATTATAAAGCAGAAAGAAGAACAGGTAGGATTCCCCCCCCCCACCAAAAGATAAAAATAAAAACCCAGCCTGCCCCAAGCACTCCCAAGAGCTCAACAGAATATTTGATACTCCTAGTGAACATTATTGCACACATTCTTAAGTTCTTGGACATTCTTAAGTTGAAGTGTTGAAATGCAAAAAAAAAAAAAAAAGGTTATTCTATCAAATATTAAGATCCTCTAGATTGGAAAAGATAATTAGCTGGTCTTCGTTCTTAAGCATCTTCTAGTGAATGTTCCCATCTGTCACCTTTTGGGGTGGGGAGGAATAAATCACAAGCGTCCCCATGGTATCAACATTGCTGATCACGTCACTCATTCTTGTTACACCCAGAATCCTCCAACTTCCTTTTAATACATTCTTGTGGATGCTTTTGTCTGTAGCTCTGCCATCTCAGTTGAACTGTGAACAATGCTGCAAGATGTATGATAAAATCAGTGCACACAAGCTTTTGTGTGGGCTGTTTATCATCACATCCTGCATTTGCATTTATAACATCATCAATTAGAGGTACTAGGCACAACATAAACATGTGCAGTATAGTACTTTATTACTGATCATTGAGTAGTTCTGGTGTCAAAAGACACCATTTGAGTTGTTACCAAAATTGCTTTTGCCCATTTTTTTTCTTCTAAGAGATAATTTATTATTTCACTATGAGGAAGTGCCTAGTATATTTTATTGTGTATTATTGCATTTTATTGTTCCACTGGTGGTGGCTATTACTTTGTACACTTCTCAGAGTTAGTTGACTGAAATGATTTAGACATTCATACTTAAATGTACAAATAAAGAAGCAAACAAGCATGGAATACAGAATAATAATAATTCACCATCAAGGCAGCCAAATACAATAGAAACCACTTGGCTCAGACATGAACAACAGTATTGAGAATACGGTAGCCACCATAAGCATAAAGTCATATGCTAACTATAATAGTCAATTATTGTTTTTGTTATTTGTAAAACATCTGGCTTATTGTGGAGCCCTAGGTGCTCTCTGAGCTTAGTTGTTTACTTGTAGATATTTCATTCCTACAAACTAAATTTAGAGAAAAAGAAAAGAATGGAAAGAAAGAATAAAAAGTGGAGGAAAAAAGAAAAAGAAGAAAAGAGTGAATATAATAGCAATAACACTTAGACTTATATACCACTTCACAGTGCTTTATAGCCCTCTCTAAGTGGTTTACAGTGTCGGCATATTGCCTCTAACAATCTGGATCCTCATTTTACTGACCTCAGAAGGATGGAAGGCAGAGTCAACCTTGAAACGCTTAGAATCAAACTCCTGGAGTGAGCAGGGAGTTAGCCTACAGTACTACATTCTAACTACTGTGCCACCATGGCTGTTAGGTAGTCCTCTATTTGGGATCAGAATTTTGGTGGCTAAGTAAAGTGATCATAAAACAAGATGTCACATGACTGCATCATTTAGTGTCCACAATTCCATCTCTCCCTGTTAGGTCATTAACTGAGAATCAAAGATTGTTAAGTGAATGCCCATCTCAACCCATCAATGTCCATTTGGCCACTCTTGCCTTATAGGGCAGCAAGACTCAGCAACCAGTAGCATTTGCTCAAGCCCACACATTTATTTTGGTCCCCCTCAAGTGGCAACATTCACACACTTATTTTCTCCCTATAAGTGGCAAATGCCCCAGCATTTGTTCTCTGCTACGTATGGGGAGAAAATGAATACTGGAGCTTGAGCAAATGTTGCCTCTTGGGGAAGGAATGAATGCTGCCACTTGCTGAGGCTTGTTGCCCCACAAGACAGGATGAAGTATGGCCAAAAGTGTATAAATGGGGGGATGGGGGAAGTGAATGGGGGTAGTTGGAGTGTTCCTGAGATTGTAAGTGTGGGCAGGCTGCCAAATCCCTAAATTTAAATCCCTAAACCATATAAGAGCACTGCAATGGCTGTAACTTCAGGCAGTGGTCCAGTCCATTTTGTCAACACTGTCGTGATTTTTGAATGGTCCCTAAAAAACTGTTTGTAAGTCAAGGACTATCCTACACAAAAAAAAGGAAAATAAATATATAAAGAAATCAAATATCCATCATAACAAATACAAACACATTTAATAACTCTGCTCTCCCTGTAAGTTTAGACAGACACCACTTCATCCAATTTCGAGAGAGAGAGAGAGAGAGAGAGAGAGAGAGAGAGAGAGAGAGAGAGAGAGAGAGAGAGAGAGATCCTAACTACATATAGTAAAGCACAAACACACAGACATATGAATAATCATTGCACATTGTCCAGTATATCTTCCTGATACATGGGATATTTCATCTCTTCTTATTTTGAAAAAAAAATTACAGCTAAAGCATTGGTTTCTAAATTTTCAAAAAGAAGTTTAGTAAAGGCAAACATTGAAGCAAGGCAGAAATTCAGTGTTTTAAAATAGGGAAAAATTTGTCTCAGTTAATGAAAAGCTGTCAAATTCAGTGCGGTTTTAGTTTAGGGACTTTCCAAGAAGGGTTACTTTAAATTTCATGAGTAGCTTTAGGCTCTTTGCCTGCATAGTGTTTACTTGCTTCTCCATTCCCTGCATATCTTTTTCTTTTCCCTTTTCTTCCCTCTGCTGGCTCTTTATTTTTTGTAAGGTTTATTTCATCATTTCCTCCTGTGAGGAAAGCCCTGTGCCTTCTTCCACTTTAAACAGGGACCCTGAGATTCCTTCAAAATGCGATCACAATTAACTTGTGCAGTCAAGGTTGTTACTTTGGTTCAGTGATAATTCCAGTTAGCTACAGCATGAAAAGCAAAACATACATCACTGAGCAGGCGTGTTATGGGGGTTTCAATATATCTCAGACAGCACTATTTATACTATTAAGGCTTCATAACTACATTATCTTGCATATCTGCTGCCACCCATTATCCTTCATAATGGGTTTACACATCACATGTACAACAAATGTATCTCTATTTAGATGATATGAGTATTTTCTACAATAGCATCTCCTTATATTTTATTGTAAGGAAGGAGTACTTATATCACACTGATTATAAATTGATTGTAGATTGTAAAGTCTTTGTTAGCCTCTGCTGTTAGTTTGTATTGTGAAATAGTTCTCTGCATGAAACAGAAAATGTGTGTGGTTTAACCCCTACCCCCCACCCCACCCCCACTCCCCAAACAGATAGCTTTCCAAAATTCTGTCAAACCATTCTCAGTGCATCTCTTTTCTCTTTCCTTCATCCAGTCAACTGCAAATTCTATCAGGGTGGCAAATTCCACCAGCCCATCTTCCCCCAGCCCTGCTAGCTCCTTCCCTCCATTCCTGTTCCTCTGCTGCCTCCATTATGTCATATTCCATAGGTCTCCTTGCTTCCGATCAACATCTTCCTTTCTCTTCCCTTCCCCCCTTAACTTGCCCATCCTTAACTCATACTCTATGTGAGTTATAGAGCCGTGGTGGCACAATGGTTAGAATGCAATATTTCAGGCTAACTTGCTGTTCACTGCTAGGAGTTCGATCCTGATCGGATCAAGTTTGATTCAGCCTTCCATACTTCCGAGGTTGGTAAAATGAGGACCTGGATTGTTGGGGGCAATATGCTGACTCTGTAAACTGCTTAGAGAGCATTGTAAAGAACTATGAAGTGGCATATAAGTCTAACTGCTGTTGCTATTGCTAAATCAGTTTTTAACTTGTTATATTCCTCTATGGGGTTTCACTTATTTCAATTAAATACCTCGTCACTTTATTATAGTGAATTAGAAAGTATATATATTCTTCAAAAGTTTATTTGGACAAACCTGCCAGTTTAAAATAGTCCAAATTTCTCACAGCTAGATTAAAGAAGAGAGGCACTTTAGTGCAGTGGTAAAAAGGCACTTGGCTAGAAACTAAGACTGAATTCTGGTCCTGGCAAACCACCTCTGAAAACTTTTCCAACAAAACTGCATCAGTGTATGCTTGCAATTGCCAGGAGTCTGGATTGACATGAAGGCACAAAAAGAGAAAGATGAATTCATCTCAGTCTAATGACTGAAAAGTCACTGACCTGTTTAATTTACATCCTGCCTTGAAAATAAATTTTCTCTTCAGTACTGTATGTTGTGTATTAGCAGCCAGGAAAATATAGCTAGCCAACAATAGGCTCCTATGACATAATCAACATACAGTCCAATAGGAAGAAACAGAACAAGAGTTTCTGTTAACAGCCTGGGTGGCGCAGTGGACTAAGTGCTGTTAAAGTAGTACTTAGCTGCCAGCTGCCTGCAATTACTGCAAGTTCAAATCTCACCAGGCTCAGGGTTGACTCAGCCTTCCATCCTTTCGAGGTAGGTAAAATGAGGACCCAGATTGTGGGGGCAATAAACTGACTTTGTATAAAAAAGAGCACCACTTAGGGGGGCCCAAAAGCCCTACTAAGCAGGTATATACAAAAGTATGAAGGCTACTGCTTAATGCATTGTAAGCCACCCTGAGTCTCCAGAAAAGGGCGGCATATAAATCGAATTAATAAATAATAAATAAACAAACAAATGGCAGCAGAAGCAGTGATCAGTAACTGAAGGGAAGGAGGCATTCCAATCTCAATGTAAGACTGTCCCTTGAGGTTCAGGATAAATTTCATTTGGGATCAATATCTTCTAGATAAGAAGAACGGAACTAGAAGGAGAGGCTGTCCAATATAACTATTTTAACAAGATACAGCCAAAACTGCCAGGTATGATACGAAAATTATACAGAAAAATATTTAAAAATGTAGATGGCAGACAGAAAGCTTTGAGGAATACAAAGATTGTGCAACATGTAAGAAATTTAGTGGGGTTAAATGGTGATTGGGGTTTGGGGGGCTGATTAAATAAAAGTTGAAGACTAATAAAGAATGGAAATGTCTTCCGATTGTATAGTAAGAAAGAAAATCTGCACAAGTCCCTGAAGACTTCTTCGCACAGTTTTTCAGAAGTGGCTTGTCATTGCCTCCTTTTTAGGCCAAAGAGAGAGTGAGTGGCCCAAGGTCATTCAGCTGGGTTTGTGCCTAAAGCAGGACTAGAATTCAAGGTTTCCTAATTTCTAGCTTGATATCTTAATCATTACATCAGATTGACTCTCATGAAGGTTTAAGGTAAAGGTAAAGGTTCCCATGCACATGCGTGCTAGTCGTTTCTGACTCTAGCGGGCAGTGCTCATCTCTGTTTCTAAGCCAAAGAACCAGCGCTATCTGAAGACATCTCCATGGTCATGTGCCCAGCATGACTAAATGCCAAAGGTGCATGGAGTGCTGTTACCTTCCCACCAAAGTGGTCTCTATTTTTCTACTTGCATTTTTTATGTGCTTTCAAATTGCTAGGTTAGCAAAAACTGGGACAAGTAATAGGAGCTCACTCTGTTATGCGACGCTAGGGATTCAAACCGGTGAATTGCCGACCTTCTGATTGACAAGCTCAGTGTCTTAGCCACTGAGCCACTGCATCCCTCATGAAGGTTTAGGAGACTGTTAATGAGGTGATATAATAATCACTAGAGAAAACTGGCTCTTCTTGATCAAACAAACCAACTTTATATTCCAATATTTTACTTCTAATAGTCTTAATGTTTAGTCCATTCAAATAACGGACAATAGACTTTCTTCTCTAGGTTTAGTAATAATATTACCTTATTTACTTCATTAAGGCCGCAGTATTCTAGATGATAGTACTAATGCAATAAATTTAGAAAACTTCATAACTTTCTTTATACAGTATTTTCACAAAGATATAAAATCAGCCCAAGGCAATCTGATTTAGCCAAGTATTCAGATGAATTTGATGCATATTCCTAAGGTTGAGACATCTGAGTTTGAAATTTAGAACAGATGCATGAATATGCAATAAAAAGCATGACATTTTGTTTTAAAATTCACTGTGGCATTAATATTCCATATAGTAATAATCTACACCAGCTTTTAACAATATGGGATGAGAATGACAATAACTATTGGTCAAAGCCAATGGTAGGAGTTCTTGCTTAAACTATTAAGAGAATTCTTCTCTGCACAGAATGATGACCATTTTATTATCCCCAAGTTTTTAAAATTTGTTTGACTAGGTGTGTATGTGTATGTGTGTGTATGCTTGAGAACTTTGGTATTTTGCTGATATTTGCCATTATTATTGCAGCTGTTGATGGGGTCCTTTTGTGGGAAGATAAGTTTTGAGTGTAGTTGACCTTCATCCACTTTCCCTTGAATGTGACACACTGTAGAGATGGTTGCTTCAGGCAAAGGGAAAGAGAGCGAGATAGTACAGTTCTATAAGAGTATCATCAGGATAGCTGCTATAGTAATTAATAGTGGAGCAAACTACCACCTTCATTCAAATTGACACTTGTATTGAAAAAGGAACAAGTCAATGTGCTCTCACTGTACTTATGGGCAATAGATCAAATAATACATAAATAAACCACTAATGATAACAAAACAACTAATGAGACCAAACTGGGAGATAAACAGGAGGTATAATATATTAGAGCAGAATACCACAGGGTTATTCAAACTATGTGAAGAGGAAGAAGTAATTACTTTTTTGGCCAGAGCTAGGCACCAGCTGATATCTAGAGAAGCATCATATGTGAATATTTTACCTTAGTGTATACTTACATCCAAAAACATCAGGACTATTGAGATACAGTATTCAATGACAAATGATTCAGTAAAGGGAAGATACCACAATGGGCTAATTTCAGTACTTAAAGAGAAGGCAATGTAGAACTGATTGATTTCTACTTCAAGTGCCAGCATGGATCTTTAGCTCTGTGGGTAATCTGAAGAAGTGAGCATCTGCTTCAAAAAAAGAAAAAGAATAAACTTGAACTGAATCTGCTGCTGGAAATGTCTCCATATGGTGAGTCTGTGTGGAGCAATGACACGTTTGCAGGTAAGGCTTGCTGATAGCAATGCATGTGGGAGAATAATTGAACATTTTTCAATCACTGTATTGGCACAAATTACCCCTGTAAAGGATTGCTTGTAACAGAAGCAGCTGAGGCTTTGGTGAGGCCACCACCTCCAAAATGTCTGTCTCAAAAGAGGGGAAAAAAATCTTGATAGAAAAGGCCACATCACTTTGATTCAATATTCTCAAGCTATAATGTCCAAAAGAGAGTCACTTATTTTACATGCTCAGGTGGTTTGGAAAAAATGGGCAAAGGATTTGGAGAAAAGAGTTTGCATGTTTCTCAGAAAATATTTATTTCTTCAAATTCAACTTGTTTTATTTTTAAGAATGATTACTACCCATCCTGTTGGTAAAACATGGCAAAACAATTAAAGGTGCCTGCTTTCCACATCATATTTTATTTAATACAGAAAAACCTATACAATTGTGTGTGCCTGTTTTTTTTTCTTCTCTGACAGAATGAGGAAAGCACAGGCTGTCCAGAGCTATCAGTCTAAATTAAACAGGCCTTCTCTGCTTTTTTTTTAATTATTATTTTCCTCTCTCACCCCTTATAAAAGTAAAATTACAATCCAATCCATTTGCTGATGAAAAGACAGAGGCCTATTTATATGTAACCATATATGCTCATCAGGTTCCTGCATGTATAATTCAATTTATAAAACATAATGTGATGTAATGTTGGAAGAAAGGGTGCTTTCATTCATACAGAATGAGTTTCTGTGCCACCATCACAGAGCTATTACGCTAGTTTTTCAACTGTTTTTTATTCTTATTGTCTCCCCCGCTCCCCGCAGTTACTGCCTTAGAATAAAACCTTTTAAATATTTGTATTCATTAAATAGCATTTTATTTGCAGGATTCAGATAATCCATTCTATTAGCTTTTTAGTTCATAATTCCTTTGAAGAAACATACATATTTGGCGCACTTATATTCTTTGATTTACTGCATGCAATAATGGGACGGATTTCTGCTGGCATTTATTATAATTTGATGATAGTGTTAGTCATCAAGATTAAGCTTTTATTTTTGTTCTAAATCAAATCTTATTAAAATGTTCAATTAGCTTAACTGATCACACTGCCTTCCAAATGGCATCTTGCAGCGATAACACTTCGAAATTGGGAACACGGGCCCATTGTTGCTGGTGTTTGAGAAGTTGTTTTTACGTTTTGCTATATACCTGGGTGTATTAAGTTTGTCTCATATGAATCTGTTTCAAATAGCCTCCAGCAAAAATGTAAATTGGGATTTTGTTTATATAGTAGGACTAGAAGTGCATTGGTTTAGAATTTATAGTTGGCTTACTGCCACCTTTTAGTATGCTGGTATTTTAATGATTCAAGATATTTTAGTGATTTGATTTAGTGATTTAATTTGTTGAGCCCTTTCTAAAGCTGTTGATCTATAATTGGATTACAATATCAAACTATCCATCTCTTTTCAACGTGGCAATATAAGCCAATGCCCATGACTGAAAGTATCAAACGTTTAGCTCTGGTGCTCTATATCCGTACTTATCTTCTAAGTTTGAAAAAAAAAATGAGTAGTCATTTGGATAAACCATGTGTTTTGGAGTTGGCTAGACTACCAAAGTTACCCACAGTCAAAAAACTGGACATTTTCTTGAGAAAAAAAGAACAATGAAAGAAACTGAATTTGAAGTAAAACTGTCATAAGTGGGCTTCATGTTTTAGACAGCAGAAATAAGTTATAAAAATGAGTAATGAAGAACTACTTATATATTTATTTTGAAAACTTGCAACCACAAAAATATTGGACTGTTACATTAAAAAAAAATGAAATGGAATCTATTTGGTAAGGACTGGGAAATGCTTCACATTTAATTGCCAAAATAGTATTTTGTGCGGGGTAGAATGGAAATGCAGTACTTGTCAGCAACTCATTCAAGCAACAATGTCTAGGCATGTAGTCTTGAAAAAATATAGTTGCTTTAATGAGTCACTGATAGATATTGCTTTTGTACAGATAGTCCTCGATTTATGCCCACAATGGGGACTGAAAAATTCATTATTAATGAGTTTCGTTTAGTTTCGTTTAGTGTACTTCATTGATTAGCCCTTGGGCCATATCAAAGTGCAGAGTTCCAGATACAAATTATTACTAAAATCTGATAAAAACAATTTAAAATAGAATTGGATA